CCCCAAAAAAAATCCCCCTTTGGGGGGCGGTTCAAAAGGGGGGCCCAAAACCCGTTTTTTGGGGCAAACCCCCCCTTTTTTTTAAAAAAAAAAAGGAAACCCCTTCCCAAATGCCTTGGAGGGGGTTCCCAATTTTTTCCCCCAAATTTTCCCCCCCCCCCCCCCCCTAAATAGACCCTGTTCCGGGGAGAACCCGGCGTGTTCCGTCCCGGCTTTGTAGGGATGGGAGGTCAATGGTCAAACGATTCCGGCATCCACGATTATGAGTCCCCCCCCCCCCCCCCCCTGAAAACCCCTTTTGCCCCCCTCAATCGGCTACGACAAGAGGCCCCATCGATCTCACAGCAGCAACATACTCTAGCCTCCAAGCAAGCGCAGTCGACGATGGACCTCTCACACCTCATACAAATGAGAAACGGGTGCCGATGTGGTCAGAGGAATCTGGCCACCTCGAGGAGAGGAGCCATAGCGGCGGCGAGGGCTAGCTAGATCCAAGGGGCCTTGCCAAAAGTAGACAAGTAAACACCCCCATACCGCCCCCGGCCTACATCCTTTCCCCCCCTTGCCTGCACCAACTCCTGGCATTCTTTCCTGATCCTGAAGAAAAGACAGAGCAAAATTAATGAAGAATATGGCCAACGATACCCCCCTCCCCCTCTTTTCTATCCGTCCCTTCTTCCTACCTTGCAGCTCCCATCGCTCTCGCTCCTCGTCGTCGCCCCCCTTGCACATCTGGTAGAAGATGTGGAAATTTCTCTCGTCGTGGGCCTGAGAAGGGATGCGCACCTAACGAAAGAAAGAAAGAAAGAAAGAAAGAAGCAGAGAGAAGAGTGTTGGTGCGTAGTAGGAGGAATCGGACCGAATGGCAAGAGCACCGAGCACCGACGCCAACATCAGTCTCGCCGATGTTTTTACCACCACTTTCGTCATTGGTCCAAAGAGAACACAGCGAACTCTTCTTTCCACCAAACGTAAGAGTTCGGGATAACATCGGCAGTGTAAAATATACTTTACTACTACCTTACCTTTTCGAGGAGGTAGGTCTCGATGCCCGCGCCCAGCAGGTTGCCCCGCTTGTCGAACATGAGCTCGATGAACTTCCCGAAGCGGCTCGAGTTGTCGTTACGGATGGTCCGGGCGTTTCCGAACGCCTCTAGGATGGGATTGCTCTGCAGAACCCTGTCCATGATCGAACCCTTCTCCAGCTCCACCCCGCCCTCTCCGTTGCCCACCGTTGTCAAGTACCTGCGGGGGGAGGCGTTTCCAGACCCGGGGGGGAGCAGAGACAAGATACATGTTTTCACCAACGGCCGGCAAAATCAGGCCACTTAGATGAGGTTTGGTTCCAGCGTGACACCTGGTTATCAACGCTGGATAATTCCGTCCGGCATGTGAAGGCGTTTTATCACAAGGGGGGGTACGGTAACCATATCGACTTCACCTCCGGCAAGGGCACGCCGATGCCATGCACTCATACGGCAGCGCTTCAGGACTTCACAGCCTGCCAGGACGCTCGACGATGAACTGCAGGTCTGCAGGTCCATCATGCAGCAACGTTCCCCACGGGCACTGCTATTCACTGAAAAAGTACGCGACTGCAGTGGACATAGGCTGGTGTGGCTCCAGTTCATCGTCGAACGTGAACTGGAAGCGACTACTAGTGCCTGGCTGCATGATGGACCGGCGTGCCCGCAGTTCATCGTCGAGTGTTCCAGATATCGTGGCAGGCTGTGAAGCCATGAAGGCCCTGCCACATGAGAGCATGGCGTTGGCGTACCCGTATATCGCCAACCTTACCTGTCACCCGGGGCTGAATCCAGCGACAACGGTGTATAGGCAACACTGCTGTTGCTGTTCTACGACAGCAGAGGCGGCTCCACAATACAAAACATCCGCCGCAGCAAAACACACACCGTCCCATTTCCGCCGCTTCCGACCGCAACTGCTCCTGCTCTGCTGGGGTTCCCTATGGAACCACCTCCCTCACTCTAGTTCTTCAGTGCCGACTCAAGCCTCAATCGCAGACTGTGTGTACCTCATGACGAACTTGGTGCTCTCCGTTTTTCCGGCACCACTTTCTCCGGAGATGAGGATGGACTGGTTCACCGGCCCCATGCCCGCCGACTTTCCCGCGTGAATACCCTGGATGGTTGCAGCGAAACATGAGCACGGCATGTGTCCGTATGAATTGACAACATGAAACGAAAAAAAGAGCGCAGCACGTGCGCACAGCGCGCGTCCAGTTGAACTTCACGTCTCGCTGCTTCTGTCGGCGCGACAAATACCAAAACCATGGGCGAAAAAACATGCCACACCGTTGTGATAACATTTTCCGGTTATCGCGTGCGTGCGGCGTCTTGTGTGGCCCGTGTGATACGTTGCACTCACAGAACCCCAGGCAACACGAAGGGATTGTCATCGATAGGGGGTGTGATATCTTGCGTCAAACCCATGATAACAGTTGACTCACAGGACCCCAAAAACAAGCTGTGTGACAATGGGGTTTTGTGACCCGTGCGATGAACTACGCTCACGTGGCACACGATACGCCCATGGCTCCATCCAGCCCCTGCGCCCTCACGGGTATTTGTGGTGCTGCTGGCAAGAGAGAAACACCTCCCGCCCCCGGCAGCATCGGACCAGAGGGTTCCAGCAGGACAAGGGACAAGATGGGAAATGCATACCATACCCTAGGGGTGTTGTGTTGTCCCACAGCGAACACAAGACAACCCCCTAGGGCACGGCATGTACTTCCCTCCTTTTCCTTATCCTGCTTGTATTCTCTCCCTCGATGCTGCTGGCGGCAGAGCAATTTCTCACGTCTATGGCAGCAGCACAACGCCAGCGCCATCTACGGCCTGACTGGCTGCGCTCTGAATTCTACGGCAGGAACTGGAAGTGCATGCACAGGATAGCGCTGGTGACGCGATAAGAAGATGGCTTAAGTCCTGACTACTGTGCACTGAACTCTACGGCAGCAAGATGGTAAAATCTCGACAACCACCGCTGTTCAGGGTAAGCTATTACAGTCAGCCGGCGGATACAAGCTGCCTGGCTGTACACTCAAGTCTACGGCATGAAGATGGTGATATCTCGATGCCCACCGCTGTTCAGGGCAAGTTGTTCTCATCACACCCGCGGACACCCGCTGCCCCTTCACGACTGCCCCCGTGCACAAGACGGACCGGTGCAAGACTGCGACGAAGGAGCCAATGCCGGAAGCCTCCTACGCCCAAATATCCAGCCTTTGCGACGGACTCATCAAACAAACCGTTCCCTTAGTCCAAGATCTACGACCACTACATGGCCTTCAAAGACGCGCGACGGCCCGGGTTGCTCGCTCCCGCAGAAAGCGCGTGTGGAACCGAGTCAAAACCTTGCCGTGGGAGGCGGATCTCAACACGAGGTGGCGGGCTAACAAGGAGCTCAGCGCCGAGGGACGCCGCTAACGGCGGCGCGATCTCCGCCGGTTCGGAGGAGGAGGGTGAAACGTCGTCCAATATGACTACCGACTTGTTGGGGTCGTTGGAAAATCGACCACAGTGACAGCACTACGCTGAGGAGAAAGGGTAACATGGCCACACGGGCGACGCTATTACATCCCTTCTCGTCACACCCCGTGTTCGTACCGTCGTTCGAGTTTAGCGAAAGATACCACCCCCCAACCCCCCCCCGTACAGAATACCACCGGCGGGAAAGCTTAATAATGTCACAATGTTCATCACACGGGCGTGGTATCTGATGTCACCGACAACGGCATACTGCTGAACACACACAGAGCAACAGCACCAGCAGCAACGCAAACCCATCACTACCGACATCAACTAACGACGACCGCCCACCTTCATCATGTCACGGTAGGCAGAGTCCGCGATCGCAAAAACGTGCGGCCCAAGCGCCTGCGGGGGCTCTATCCCCTGTTCCCGCATGCACCCCACGTCGAAGTACTGCGTCAAGAGATCCTTGCCGTAGATAGGGAGCCTCTTGAAAGGGTTTACCGCGAGCAGGATGGCGTTTGCCGTGAAGGTGTAGATGTCCCCCCTGTCGAAACGCCTGCACAGGGAGTGCAGGATGGCCGCCTCGTGCAGGTGCGGCAGTGCGATGAGGTCTTCCACGTGGTCCATGTCCTCCTCGTTCGCCAGCTTAAGGTCCTCCAGCTCGCAACCTTTATTTCCCATCCCCAACACCACCGAACAAAAAAAAACAAACAGGAAACGCCACAACAAACACAGACAAGAAGAGGAGGGGACGAGGGGAGCCGCGGACGGAACAAAGCACGGGGGCGGGCGGGATGCACAAGGCGTATCAGCACATGTGTGGTGTCAACTCGACACGGACCGACAGACAGACAGACAGACAGACAGACAGACAAGGAGAACAACGCATGATGCCAGTTTGTTGGTATTCCTGTCTTACGTAGATGGGGAAGCAGGGGGCGGATAGTAAGGTGGGGCAATAAAGCACAAAAAAAGGCCCTGTGTTTAACCTTCCCCCCGTGTAACCCCAGCTGATGCGGCATGCACATACCGAGCGAAAGGTGTAGGCTGGCGCCAGAATAGACGGGACAGACACACACTCCGTGACGATGTCCTTCTACCTGTCGCATCTCCGTTGCCCCTTGCGAGTCCACCGCTGGTACATGGACGACACAACCTCCGTGGCCACTGGCCAACGCAACCAACAGTAGCCTCCACAAACAACACTCGCAACGCCTCGCGTTGCCTGTGCGAAACGCTTGCGCCCGTCACCGGCGCATCGAACAAACAGAGGTATTGTAGGTACTGTTTCATGCTGAATCGTATTTAGTCATGCGTAGAGGATGAAGGCGTGCTCCGCTCTTACTCTTGTTTTTTGCTTCACATTGACCACTGTACACTTTTAAACTCTCTTGCTAGGATTGATATCGCACCCCTGTGTCGAAACAACGATGGGTGCCACTACGCCGATACCAGCGCGGAAATGCAGTGAAATCATATGCTGCCTTCTTTCTGTTTTTGTGCACCCCGGTACCATAACCCTGATGGGTGCGGAATCACCAATATATGAGTGCCATTAACACCACAGCTACAATGCATACGATACGCCGCCATGCTGAGAGAAGCGAAAACGAAGATGGTAACCATTAATCATCATTGTTGCAATTGTATTTCCGATGTGAACCTGTCAAACGGACATTTCAAGCCTCTCCGCGGTACCTACCGAAGTGTACCAGTATCAAACAAGGATGCTCAATGCCGTAGTCTAGACGAGAAGTTTGGGGGATGCCTTGGCGTCTTTGGGGACGACTACACGAAATAGATGGCACCTGCTGCAGAATTATCATGAGGAGCCAAAGCTGTAGTCTAGTCGAGTGGGTTAGGTTAGATCTCGAAGGGGATGCCCTTGGGAGTCTTTAGGGAGGACTACAAGTAATGATGTAATAATAGATGGCGCCTGCTGGAGAATTATCACGAGGAGCCAACAAGGTGGAAGAGCCGTAGTTCAAGAGCGATGGTGCGCTTTTTTTTCCAGACTGCCATACATGTACCCGCCGTGTGTGTATGCATACATAGGATTGAGCACAGGAGTACTCAAGAGAGCGGAAGGGAGAGAGCCAGGGGGGGGTACATAGCCAGTACACGTGGAAAGAAGAGGTGCATTTCAAAAACAGTGTTATGTTGCAGAATAATATGGCGCACGTGCAACGAGATGAAGAGATGCAAAGCGCAAGGCAAGCGAAGGAGGAGTGCAGCAGTACAGAGAAGGTCAAGAAAGTCGTGTGGCGCCGGCACTACCGCATGCGTACATGCGTACATTGTATATGTACCTCCTAGGAACCGCGGGGTGTGTGCTTCTCCTCAAGGAGAGGTTCCGGTTTGTTCTGGAGACGAAAAATTTGAAAACATCAGGTTCAAAAATAACGTCACTTGTTACGCATGCAACGGCAATGTTTCCAAGGACGTGTAGGGGCATAGCAGGGTCTTGGGATTGTCCGCCACGAAGAGGAAGGTTCGGACCCACGCGCCTCCTAGGATATCATGCCGGGTATCCACCCTGCTGTTCATGTTGGGGACTCTGCTGTGTCTACAATCTACATGCCATCATTGCTGTTGGGCTTGCGTCAACAACGAACGTCAGCGTTTGAGTTTGAACGTTGACGATCTCGCAAAGCGGGGGTGCTTGCTGCAACAGCAGTACATACATGTACCCTCCCTCACCATCGTCTTCGCTTATCGTGAACGTGAGAGGTTCCTCCGAGACGTCTTCCTCCACCTCGATCTTGACGGTGCAAGGCTTGCCGGCCGCGCTCCTCTCGAGCACCGTGCCTGCAACCCAGGCCTCCTGCTTGTCCCGCACCCACACCGCCGCCCCGGCCTCCATCTTCCGCGCACTAGTCCCTCCCTCTCGTCAAAGCAACACCGTCGCCACGTGCCTTCCCCCCACCCGCTCGCTGTTGCTCAAGAACGCCTGTTCGATAGGGTAGTAGCAAACCAGCAAACCAGCGTGGCGTGGTCGAACGCGATGGGGACCCTGCCGATGTCTGCACTTGCAGCTTGCAGTTCGTTCGCAACAGCAGTAGGGGCACCACAGATTCTAGCATCCAGGTGCGTGTGCGTGCGACCGATACTATGATATTCAAACTCCAATGGCGTTGCCCCCAACATCTCTCCGAAAATGTGTCGTGGTGTGCTGGGTGTTGGGCGTATGTCCAGTTGCGCCTGAAGGTCTCTCAGGGCGAGACCCCTTTGGCACAGTCCACAGCAGTGCCCACGGCTGACAGAGCAGGGAATCGCGCAAGCAGGAAAGAGGACCTCGGTCCGCTGCGGGCCTGCTGGGGCAGCCGCCATGATGATGGAATCAATCTCCAACGGGGGCACGGTTGCCAATGCTGCTGCCGCTGCCCTTGGCCAAGACGGACCATTCGCCATAGACGTGGAGGGCATGATGTGGTGAGCTTTGACGTGTCGACATCACTAGACAGCATACCTTCGGCAGCGTTGGGTGGGTCAGCGTTGTCGCCGGTCCTCTGGCGCTCTCTCCCCCGTCCGACCCCCCAGTGTTCAACAGCTGTTTTTTTTGGAACAGAAAATACCGGCGCTTGTTGACCGAGAGAGATAACCCGCAACAGCGCAGCAGCACTTATTCATCTTTCATCAGGCTCCTGGCGGCTTTGTTTGGAAGAGGCTACTGAGCTGTTCCAAAGGTTCGCTCGTAGGTGTGATGGCCTCCCTACCCATTCAATGGCTTCGCATTCAGCTTGTGGTTTCAAAGGAGAGGGCGACACAAATTATGGAGCTCGGCACCCCGCAACGGCGAAAGAAACGGATTCCACTTACAGTAATCGTAGTATTAGTGTAATACGTACTACAGCAGTAGTAGGAACGTGCATGCCGGCGAGACTGTTTCAGCAACCGTAATTTGCCCTGCTGTACCAGCTTTTTGGCGAGAGGCAGGTTACAAGTCATTCTGTGCGTTCCCTGTGCTCCTTCGAGTTGTGTGCAGTCTTCCTAATTTGCATTGGAAGAGAACGCTAAATTTCTCTTCGATGTCGCAGAGTCCCGGCCAGCACTGCTTGTTCCTTTTCCCGAAGAGGGCGAGTGGTACATCTTGGTCTTGGTACACAGCAGTACGGCGTGACACAAGATACCCCCTGAACTGGTTTTCACAGCTTGATTTCTCCACAACATAAAATCTTGACAGGGCCGAAAACGACGGCGTTGGAGCTGTCTCGTCGAGAGCTTTCCGAAAACGTATGGTTTCAATGATGCGTCCTGTTCGCCGTGGAGTCATTGACTGGGCTGTGAAAATCGCCCCGGGGTGTGTGGTGTCTTGTGTCCCCTACGTTATGCATACATACCCACCACCACCAGGGCGTACTCAAAACACCGCTGATTTTGGTGGCTCCAGCAGCGAAGACACCATCCACGTACCCCGCGAAAGACGCAACAAACATTCAACGCCATCGACATGTGTCGTAAGCACACGAACGCACCCCACCCGACCACAGGCATTGCACCCTGGCTCCGACGATTCCCGCTGGCTCCAACAAGATGGGATATATATCTCGAACGGGTAGTCTTTCTGCGAGATTTACTCTCTAAAAAAGATGGTGAAAAAAACTTCCGATTATTGCGCCGCCGCTCCATGTCTGTTTCGGGATGACACCTGTGGGGGTGCATGTACGCCAAAAAACAAAATGTTGCACTTGTCGTTTCTGATTGCTGTACCCTCGAAACCACGCCGGCAACCGTTCAGAATTGACGTCTGTCTTCGCTTTGGATTCGGACACGTTTTCCACCCCCTCAGCAATGGCGTTGGACTACCCACAGCAGTAATAGTGGAACTCCTGCGCTACAGTACGTGTCTATTATATAGGAGAAGACGGCGAACGTTCTCAGGCGCAAAGCAGCGTCTACATACTGCTGTACAGCAGTCGTTCACATGTGGATTTTCATTGAAACAGGCGTCCTTGAAGCCGGAGAAGTATCACGTGGATTTTCATTGAAACAGGCGTCCTTGAAGCCGAAGAAGTATCCTTAAGATTTATACCGTCCACCGTTGCGTTGTACATTCTGCGGAGCAAAATGCCTGTTCTATAAAAAGGTGTACCTACTCCGTAGTTGTTTCGTAGACACTACTTTTGTTGAAACCCCCCGTTAAAAACCCGTCTATGATGCACGTGCCCCCCCCCTTTCCGTTTGTAAAAAACTGCTGTGCGCCGGTTCGCGAAGCCAAAACAACTGCGGCAGCACCGTGAAAAGGGCGATCGAGGCGGTGCCGGGGGTGTCTCGCGCCGAGGTATCCTTCGCCGCTCGACGCGCATGGGCCTGGCTTTCTCCCTCCTCCTCCAGCAACGCAGCGGGGCGGCGACAACAACATCACGCCGCCCTTGGCAGCAGCCTCGACGACGTTGAAGGTAACGGCGGCGTAACCGCCAAGCGCTCCGAAGAGGAACAAGAAGGAGGTAATTCCGCCGCCGTTTTTGCGGAGATCCTGGAGGCCGTGGAGGCCGTGGGTTTCGGCGCCGAGGCGTCGCCCGACGTCGAGCTCCTGGTCGGGGGCATGATGTGCCAAAGGAACTGCGGGACGACGGTGAGGAACGCTCTCCTGTCCGTCTCCCCGAGTTTCGCCAGAGCGGAGGCGTCCTTCGAGGAGGGGCGCGGGAGGATCTGGATCCGAGCCGCGGCGTCAGGGTTGGGTGGGCCGGGGTTAGGCAGCGGCCTCGTCGCCGGCGACAACGAAGCGGACGGCAGTGGTGGTGGTGGTGGTGGTGGATTTTTGGCGGAAGCGTCGTCGTCGGATGAGTCCGCTGCCGTCGCCCGACTGGCGGTGGAGGAACTGGAAGCGGTGGGGTTCGACGCCAGCTTGGCCCCGTCGGCCGTGCTGGAGATCGAGGGCATGATGTGCCAGAAGAGCTGCGGCACCACGGTGCGGGGATGCTTGGAGGCCGTCCCCGGGGTAGATCGCGCCGAGGTTTCCTACGCGGAAGGCCGGCTCGCGAGGGTCTGGGCACGGGACGGCCCCAGGCTCCCGGTATCCGTGCTGGTGGAAGCCGTGGAAGACGTGGGCTTCGGCGCACGAGTGGTGAGGGGCCCCGCAGAGAAGGACGGGGATAGTGGTACCTCCCCGGCGGCGGAGGAAAAGCGACCGTCCGGGGTCGGCGGTGGGGCAGGAGAGGCGGACACCAAGCTGCCGAAAATGCTCCTTGAGAAGGAGGGAGGTGCTGGGGGTGGAGAGGTTGCCGTCGGGGTGTTTTCGGTGTCCGGTATGTCGTGCGCGTCGTGCGTCGGCAACGTGGAGAAGTTCGTTTCCGCCCTGGACGGTGTGGACGACGTTCGCGTCGCGCTATTGGCTGAAAAGGTGGGCCGCCCGCTCTTAGAAGAGGGAGGGGGGGGGGGGGGGCGGTACTCATAGTGGTGCATGCCGTAGTCATTAGGCCGTTGACCTCGCATCCCTACCAAGCCGGGACGGAGCACGCCGGAGTGGAGGGGGGGGGATCTTGTTTTGTGAAGGCAACGGGATGGAGAGAGAGGGAAAGAGGACGGCGGTGAGACCTAAGTCTACGACGTTTACGTAGAATATAACTACGGCAAGTGCAGGTACCATGTTATTTCTGTCGACAATTGATCATAGTGTTCAACCATTGATGTCTTCACCAGCAGCAGAGTCGGTGGGCCCTTCAAGCACTGTTTTTCCTCTACCTTTCTTCTCTCGCTCATCCGCTTCATGCCCATGCCAACCCCCATCATGAAACGTCCGTTCCTTTCTTCTTCCCCGATCCCCTAAAAAAACAAATTTCTGGGACAAAGGCGGAAGTACGCTTCGATCCGGGCACCACCAACGGACAGGAGCTAGCAGACGGCATTACCGGCCTCGGTTACCCCACACGACACCTCAGCAGCACCGTCTTGACCGGGGCCGGGGCCGCAGGCGGCAAGGGCGTGCCGGGCGCCAGCGATATCACCGTGGAGGTCTTCGGCGTGTCAGGGCCTGAGAGCGTTTCTAACGTGAGCCGACTTGGCGCCGGCGCGCGTGTGTGTGGGGAGACGTACTCGTTATGGTTTGCATGCCGTAGCGGTTGGACCATTGACCCCGTTGACCACGCGTCCTCGAGAGAACGCAGCACGTGGCGGGGGGGGGGGGTTTGTTTGGTCGAGTTGTGGTACTTTCGCTTGCACGGGCTTGGTTTTTGGGGGCGCCTACTGCCACCCGCGGGTCATCTAGCTTACGGTTGATAGTGTTGCGTGCCGGCCGTTCCTGTGTTCTACCGCTGTAACGGTGCCTGGTTCTTCGTTCTTACCATCCCGATCTGATCTTGTATTCCAACCGATTCTGTTTCTCTCCCGTAATGTGTTGCCTTTCCTTCTGTCTGTCTGTCTGTCTGTCTGTCTGTCTGTCTGTCCTGTCTGTCTCTGTCTGCCTATCTGTCTGCCTGTCCTGTGTCTATCTATATATCTGTCCGTCTGCCTTCTTGTCCGTCTGTCTGTCTGTCTGTCTCTCTCTCTGTCTCTCTTGCTTCTTTGTCCCAGCTGGAGACTACCGTGTTAGCGCTTCCGGGAGTAGCCTCCTGCAAGGTAACTCGCCCGTCCACCCCCGGGGCGGGCGACGGCGGCACACCCAGGGGCGGCTCTTACAACGGCAGCGGCGGTGCCCCCGCCTACGTCCTCACGGCCACTCGACACGCGCCGCGGAATCCTGCGCGAAACAAGGCCACCGGTGCCCGGCGAGAAGGGCCCAGCGGCGGCGATGAAGTGGCCGCCGACGTCAGCCTGGCTCTGGAGGGAGGGGACGGTGGGCGCTTGTCCCCGGCTTCGGGCTCGGCCGACGAGCTTGGTGGTGGCGGCAAGAGGCCTGGCAGTGACGATGCGGTGTGGGACGCTTTGCGGTCGGCGTTTCACTCGAGCGGTCGCCGAAAGCACGCGGGAGTGCGAGACGTCTTGGAGGCCGTGCGGGGGTCGGGATACGAGGCCAGGGCGATCGCGGAAGGGGGGGGCGGTACAGACGCGAACTCCATGCAGGCGTCTCAGGTTTGTCAAGAGAGAGGGTTGTCGAAGGATCACTTTTCGGTGGACGTTTTCTTTTGAATGCTGGGCGTGGGTTTTGATGCGTCCGCAGCTGCTATGAGCTTGCTGCTTGTATTGCTTTGTCGTGGTGGACTTGGGACCAACATTCCGTACCGCTAGTACACGGGGGGGGACGCCGACGGGGACGGGGACGGGGGGGGTACCACTAGTGTTCGATGGTACTTGAACGTTGTCGTCCGATGCAAGCAAGGCCGAACACTTTTTTTTGTGTTGGATCAACTTGCCGCCATCGAGTGGCCTTCCTCCTAGCACCATCTGACAAAGCTGCGCGTGCCTTGTGTGTATTTCGGCGCCGACCCTGGGCCTTCTCCGCGCAGGCAGCGGAGGTGGCGGAGTGGAGGCGTTTGCTGCTTCTGGCGGTGGGGTTCACCGTCCCCGTCATGATCCTGCACATGGTGGACCACGCGGAGTAAGTGAAATACGGTGGGAAATGAAACCTTCTTTTTGGCGGCGGGTTTTGGTTGTGGGTTCGGGTCTGCAGCAGCAGTAGTAGTGGTATTCTAGTAGTGGTATTCTAGTAGTGGTCATAGTAGTGGTGGCAGAAGTAGCGGTAGTAGTAGAAGCAGAACGGGCTGCCGTCGGCGGTAAATCTGTTCGGGTGGTAGCAGAGTGCGTCACGGCCTTGGATGGCGGAGTAGTCGCGATTATGGACGAAACGCTATTAGGCGAGGGTTGTCTAGCTGTGCCTTGGACGGACGCTCCCCACGTGGAGTTTCTACATGGTACGCTTCACACACAAACTGGCGCTGACGTCTTTTCATTAGTCAGCCGGTTAGTGCGGCTCATGCATTTAGTATAATGATACCAACATACTGATACGAACATACGCGCCTTTTACTAGAAAGCGTGTTCGTGTGTTTGATACTAATACCTTCTGAGTTTTCAGCCGGGTAGCGCCGCGGTCGATGCTAATTCCATGACACACACACGCTTCACCCTTTTGATTTGAAAGCGCGTCCTCCCCCGGGCCCCCGCCGCCCGCCAAGAACATGAGACTGGACGCTGGGTGCATGCAAGAACCGACCCAATCCCGTCCCCACTTGCATGTTTGCACCTCATTGTTTTTTGTGTTTTTCCTTTATCTTCGCTGCTGGCTCTGGGTCGTGCGGTGTTTATCGCTACTTGGTGATCGATACTTGCTTATGGCAGCGGCTCCGACGGCCTGTGCGGGGGCGAAGCTTCGTACGGCACCCTTCTGTCGTGGGTGTTGGTGACGGTCGTACAAGCAGTCGTCGGGAAACGGTTCTACCGCAACGCCTACAAGGTATGTACCGTATGCACGATGGTATTGTCTGCGTTGACCCCCCCCCTGACAAGGTTCTTGCATGCTCGGGAGCTCTGTGCCATTGCTTCCTCCCCGTCGTAGGGGCGTACGGTGGAGTCTAACGGGCAAACCTAGTCGGCTTATTTTGAGTAAGACGTCGGGGGAGCGGCAATACGGGAAGCATCCATTGAGAGAACCTTATGCAGGCAGTAGCAAAATGCCGTGGAAACACGCATTCAATTGGGATTTCGAGGAAACTACTATAAACTCGTTTTTGGACGTGGGCATAAAATATTCAGCGACCGTAGAGATGAAAGTCAAGAGCGTCGACGGAAAAGGGATCAAAGCAGGGAGAGTTGAGATTTTCTACATGCCAGGGTGAAAGAGATGAGCATGAACATCTGAGAGATACACCGTGAGGGTTGCGACAAATCATTTGTAGCGTCGGTCAGACAAACGCTGCATCCGAGCTGGCCGCGAAACTAAGGATAATAACTTCCATAATTACAGACCAACCATTGTTGGGGGCATTATACCTTTACCATGGTATCTCTTTAAGCAAAGGATGCACGTACCTCTACCAGCCACCAAGTTTACAAACGAGTATTAACAACAAGGATGTACATTATTTTGTTCCCACAGTCGGCGAAGCACTGGAGCTTCGGCATGGACATGCTGGTCGTGGTGGGAACGTCGGTCTCGTACCTGTACAGCAGCCTGGCCTTGCTGTTGGCGTGCTCCCTCCCGGGGGACCAAGGGGATCATCGTCCCCACCTTTTCCTAGAGTCACCCGCAATGCTGCTGACCTTCATTGCTCTGGGTACGACCGACACCTTTTCCTTGTGTTTTTTCTTGCCCAGGGGGGAAAAGTGATTTGCTGCACCGGGAAGGCGATTCTTTTCTTTTTTTCGTTTTTTTTTCTTGAATCGCTGAGTGGGCAATTTTTCTGTTTTCGTTTTTTTTTTCTTGCTGTACCGAGATGGCCGGTTTGCTGACTCTTGTTTTTTTGTTCAGGAATGAGTCATCGATGCCGGAGGCCTGCCTAATATCTCTTTAGTTTCTTCATGCCGGTTGTTATACACTTGGACATTGCGAGAAGGGAACTTATTTTAGCCTCACCGCGTCCAATCCCCTCTCCTTTCCCCCACTTGACCGCAAATATTTTTCAAGGAAAATTCCTGGAGGTGCTGGCGAAGCGCAAGACGTCGCAGGCGCTGGTTCTCCTGCTGAGCGCGCAGCCACACCATGCGGTGTTGGTCGAGCCGCTACGGGAGGACGAGCTGGCTCCCTCGCGAGCACCCACCTTCGAAGGAAGCCTCGGAGATACCGAGGCTGCGGTAGTTGGTATCGAAGGTACAACAGCGTGATGGGGATTGATGTGGTTGTAGGGGTGGTAGTTTTGGTGACGGCGCTGCTGTTGTTGTCTTGGGGTTGGCGGGTGGTGGTGGTGGTGTTGTTCCCGCGTAGCCGCCGAACATATGTCAATCTTGATCACCTCCCAGTGATGAAGAAGGACAGCGATGATAGATTACCATGAGGTTGTGGTTGTGCTTGGGGGCGTCAGTGCTTCAAAACCGAAGAAGCTTCGAAACCAGGGAATGGTTGTAAATGAGGCCAGCTTTGTGGTGAAGAATGAACAAAAACGAAGTATCATTAGGACGGTAGAGAAAGTTACATAACGCCTGGTTGTACGCCTGGAACACGCAACAACAGCGACCCGTTCTTATCCTTGGTCTTGACTCATCGCGTGGCGTGTTTGTTTTGGCCTCCCCAAATGGTGCAGGCTTTAGTAAAGACGACGACGACGAGGAGAAGTGGAGAGCCAAGAGGGCGATGGGGTGGAGAGAGACGAGCGTCGAAGCGTCGCTGGTGCAGCCGGGGGATGTCTTGAGAGTGCTACCGGGATCACAGGTGAAAGGAGAGAGAGAGAGAGAGAGAGAGAGAGAGAGAGAGAGAGAGACTGCGCTTCGTGGACAAACACGGGCTTTGGCACCTACACACGTGTGTCCTCGTCTTTCTGTGCGCTTGGTTCGTTTGTCATTCACAGCAAATCCCATTCACGCACCGAAGGCAGCAGATGCAAAACTCAACGGGACCGAGACGACCGCCCGTATCCTCACCCCGGTTAGCCGGGATGCCCAATCAACCCATGGCATATCTGGTCTGCCACAGCTAGCGCAAGGATGATAAACCAGCTTCTGGTTCATCCTTATCCTTGTGAAACATAGCCTGGGCCGAAGAATTACCCGGCCTTTCCCTCCGTCCCGGCAGTGCAGGGGTTCGAGTTCAATGGTCTCGCGACTACGGCATGCGTTTACATGAGTGCAGGGCGAATGGTCTAGCGACTTGTACGGCATGCGTTTACATGAGTACCCCCCCCCCCCCTATCTCTGTATGTTTCGTCGTCGTCACACGTGCCAGTTCCCAACGGACGGCACTCTGCTGTCGGGACAGACTTACGTGGACGAGAGCATGATAACCGGGGAGAGCAGCCCCGTGGCGAAGCGGGAGGGGGATGCCGTGTGTGGGGGCACCGCGAATCAGCACGGCTCTGTGCTCATGCGGGCGGAGCGTGTGGGCCAGGAGACGATGCTGGCGCAGGTTAGTTGCGGCGGCGGTGATGGGGGCGGCGGCAGAGGGCAGAGAGAAAATATTTATCAAAGGCTTGTTGCTGTTGTTGTTGCTGTTTTGTCGTGAGCTTGGTCGGAGTCCCTCTTTTTGGGATTGTTGTAGGTTTTTTCTTTTTAGGCCCTTTCACGCCCTTGTCCTTTTGCGGCTATGTGGTGTCGGCGGGTCGGCGCAGTACCCATGCGTCTGTTGTGGCGCACCTATCACAGGCTTGTCCTTGTCATTTGTCTCCTTTTTTTGTCGATTTTCTGATATTTCAGCAGTTGGCGATGGTACGCTGCATGAACCGGTCGTGTATTGCTTTCCCCGAAGATGCTCTTGAGTGCTGTTCGACTTCCCGTTTCTCTTCCTTAGCTTGCCCTCCATCTCGTTCTCCCTCTCCCCCTTTCCTTCTCTTTCTGCCTCTCTCGCTGGCCCTTGTCCATCGTCTCTTCCCTTCCGATCCCTCCCTTACCCTCCCATCTTCTCTCTCTTTCTCGTTCCCTCATCTCTCCTCCCTCCCCGTGTCTCTTTCGGTGTGTGTCTTTCCCTTATCTCTCCTCCCTCCGCTACCTCTTTCGGTGTGTTCCTTCGTCCCAGCTTTGCCGCCTCGTCGAAGAAGCACAGATGTCGAAGGCCCCCATCCAGAGGCAGGCAGACCGAGTCGCCGGTGTCTTCGTCCCCGCCGTCATTTGCGCCAGCGTGGCAACCTTCCTAGGGTGGTTTATCGCCGGAGAGGCTGGCCTCATACCCGAGGTGATTCCTCACTCATCGGTCGACGTCTTGACGGAGGCATCGTTGTAGCAAGGGGGGGGTACAGGAAGAAGTGGACATCAAGGGAGGTTGGGGGGGGAGGGGGGGCAGCGGATGGCTCTGACCGCCGTAAGACGCGTTGCTTCGTGATGGAGCCAGCGTGCTTCCTTAGCTTTTCCCGAGCGTACACGAGTTGAGGTTGCTTGAGGCATCGCTCTATGTAGCCGGTGCTGCTTGCATGTGGTGCTTCCGTTTTTTGCTGGGGGGTGTTCAACCCCCCCCCCCCCCCGCTCCTTCCAAACTCGCGGCGGCCTCTTATCAGGACTGGTTGGCAGAGGAGCGGTCGGACAGCTTCCTGTTCGCCCTACTGTTCGGCGTCAGCGTTGTCGTCGTCGCCTGCCCCTGCGCCCTGGGCCTTGCGACGCCCACCGCCGTCATGGTTGGCACCGGCGTCGGTGCCGGGAACGGTGTGCTGATCAAGGGAGGGGCGGCCCTTGAGGCGGCGCACCGGGTAAGTGTGTGAGAGAGAGGGAGTGAATGAAGAGTTACACAAGACCAGTTTTATGTGGGTGTGGACCCCCGTGTTTTTTTTTTTTTTTGCTGCGGGATAGAGATTCGGAAACCCGTAAACCGTTTTTATCGCGGGCGGCCCACCCGGTTAAGAGAGAGTGAATTGAGAGCGAGAAGACTGCTGGTATTGTAGGGTGGTCGAAATCCGTTTTTTTTGCGGAATAGAAACCCGCAAACCCGTTTTTTCGGGGATGGCCCTTGTGGCGGCCCACCGGGTGAGATAGAGAGAGAGAGAGTGACAAAACTGGTGGTGGAAACCATTTTTTGTGTTTTTTTGTTCGGTGGTGGAGAAATGTTTTTTTTTCGGAAAAGGATTTTGGACTGCAGCCCAGGGAGACAAAGAAAGTGAATATGGAGAGTGAGAGGAGGGGAGGAAGTAACGATCTCTGTGCTGCACCAGTATTGTGGGGTGGTAGAAATCCGGGTTTTTTTTGGTGTTCCGGGGAGGGCGGCTGCTGCCGTTGTTGCTGTCGTTCTTGCGGCCCCCTGCCTTGGTGCTGTACTCCGGCTGTTTTACTGCTGTTGCTGAAGCGAGTGCTACAAACTACGCCCCAAACACCGACGACAACAAGAACCTGGTCTCGCGCGTACCTCGAACACCAAACAGGTGAATACGGTGGTCTTCGACAAGACGGGGACCCTGACGCGAGGGAAGCCTTTCCTGACGGACGTGGTACCGATACGGTCCCCAGCTCTCGAACGCCTCCTGGCCTCCGCCGCCTCGCTGGCCGCCACCACCGCTAACGAAGCCGCACCAGAAGCAGCAGCACCAGCAGCAGCACCAGCACCAGGTTTAGGAGCGTCTCCTTCCGCCACCGACGCGACTGCTTCGGCCGCTGCCGCTGCCGCCGGCGCCGCCACCGCCACCGCCGCCGTCCTCGCCCTTGCCGCCGCGTGCGAGGCGTACAGCGAGCACCCGGTCGGGCGCGCGATCGTTGACGCGGCGGCAGAGGACACCGGCTGTGATGCCGCCGGCATGACCACGGAGCAACAGCCGCCGCCGCCGCCGCCGCCGCCGCCGCAGCAGCAGCAACCACAGCGGTATCACCAGCCTCTGTCGCCGCTGCCGGAGACGAGGACGAGTTGGACGGCGACGGCGGTGACCACCGACTTTGTGTCGGAACCCGGGTGCGGCGTGGCGTGCCAGCACCCCGTGGGGCGCGTGTGCGTGGGCACGCGGGGCTGGGCGGAATCGAACGGACGGAAGGCGGGCAAGGTCGTCCTCGTTGTTGGGAATGGTGACGGCAAGAAGGAGTCTCTGGAGGAGGCGGACAGGATCATGAAAGGTGTTTGTGTGTGCCGCCCGCTTGTCTGACCATAGAAGACCTCCATCACAACGTATTACATTAGTTTCTGTTTTTTTTATTGTTGTTGTTTTTTGTTGTTGTTGAATGGTGGGTGCATCAGACGCCGGTCTTCTCTCAGCACCCTGGAGGCTCTTTTTCCTGTTTTTTTTTTTTTTTGTATATCTCGAACTAGTCATGGTTTTTCTGTTGTTTATTTTCAAAGAATTACAACACCGGTTTGTTTCTATCCGCACCAGGTGCATCCCTACTCTAACCCCTCATTGCCTTTTCTTGTGGAAAACATAATACAACACGTTTTTTTTCTCTTCAGGCCTGGAAGAGGAGGGGAAGACCGCGGTCATTGTAACTGTCGACGGAGAGGCAGTCGGGGTGGTGGCCGTTGCCGACACGGACAAGGAGGTGAGGAAATGACGGCGTGGTATGTACGTAATACTGCTGACTCATGGTGAGAAACAAGGCCTGATATATAGGCATTACTGCCGACTTTATATTTATAGTGAGAACGAAGCGGCCTTATACGCAGTGTCCTACTGATTTGTGGTATTAACAAGGCGGCCTGATACGGGGTACTGCCGAGCCATGGGTTGGAATACAGAAGGTACATCTCCGCGATGCCACGTTCACGGTAAGAAACAAGGCGGCCTGATACATGTTGTAGTGCTGCTGACTTCATGCTGAGAATGCGAACAAGGCGGCCTCTGCGAACAAGGCGGCCTCATCCATACTGTGTGCTGCTGAGGTCATGGCGAGAATGAGAACAGGGCGACCTGGTACGTAGTAGTGCTTAACTTCGTGGTTCGGAGCACAGAGAAGATTCTTGACCACTACTTGTGACGTAACGGCAGTAATAACGACGCACTCTTTGCGGTGTAGCTTGTGTCGGCTTAGGCTTCGTTTTTCCTCGCTAGAGTTTCATGGCGGGGTACAATGTATGTAGTTGGGAGATGTTGTCAAGGTGGTGCGACAGCCGGAGGGGTAAAACAGTATTGGACACTAATTTCAAGACGATCTGTGTACCTCGACAAATTCCGCAAATGTACACGGGCTATCGAGCACCCCCCTGTCTAGTCCGTGGCCTACAACTAAGGGATGTAAGGCATGAGTGACTTCCCTCCCCCCCCCCCCCCGTTGTCTAGTCAATGTCCTAACAACTATGGCATGCAAAACATGAGCATCCCCCCCTGCCCCCCCTGTCTCTTGCTGACGCTTGGCCTCGTGGTTGGCAGGGATCACGCCGTGCCGTACTGGCTCTTGACCGGATGGGGCTGGACGTGTGGGTGGTGACGGGAGACAACCGCAGGGTGGCCACAGCGCTGGCGAGGAGGCTGGGAATCGCACCGGAGCGGGTGATAGCGGAGGTGCTCCCGGCGGGCAAGGCTCGAAAGGTTTGTGGACCTTTCGTCGATGGTAGTCGCGCATGCTAGGTATTGTAGAAGGTCTACGGAGAGTTTGTAAGGTCATTCAGACCCCACAGGCAAGCATTTCGGATTCCGAAATAAAACCAGTAGACTAGGCGAATGTGGTCGTCACGTCGGTAGAAGGTTTACAGAGACTTGGTTGGGTCATTCGAACCCCACCACAAAAAATGTATTTGAAGCCGAAAACCAACCATTTTACAAGTCAGCGTTGGCTGGTCGAATTGCTTCATTCCGGCTTCTACACGTCCGATACATGTCGTATAATAGGATGAATTATCGCGGCAGACAGTGCGGTTGGCTCGTTTCGTAATTACGTGGTTGGGGAGTCGTTGGTGGAATAGCTCGACAGTTTTTTTTGGCTTATCGTTATTGCAAAGCGGGCAGGTTTTAGAGTTGTTGGAAACGCTCGAGAGATTGGGCTTCAGCAGGGTCCGAGAGCATCCCGAAAATGATGGCGAGTGGTCGGCAAGCGAAACACTCGTCACCACGACTGACCGCAGGAGCAGTATTGTACGCAAGACGGGCCTTGTGCGTGAGCATGCGGCGCAGATCAGCAAAGCGATGGAGGCTGTTGTCGTGCCCGTGTTTACGCGAACGCGTGTTTTCTTTGTCTGACCCACTTTAACTTCATTTCTACCCCACATACGTTAAGATGGGAGCGGAGGAGGGCTCCAGACTATCTGTCGCTGATTTCAATTGGCTTGCGGCCCCTTCGGGTCCATTTTGTTTTCGTGTACCTTTATGGTAAGTTAGCTTGTGACCACGGGAGTCGACCGCATCAAGTGGTAGATCAGTACGAACAGATGGAGGTGCTGGGGTAGAGAGATCCGAACGGCGTTGTAATGTGAAGCGCAACAAACCCCCCCACAACCCATACAACGCCGCCAGGTGCAAGAGCTCCAGCTAGCGGGGGGCCACGTTGCGATGGTGGGGGACGGGGTTAACGACGCCCCCGCCCTGGCCACCGCGGACGTCGGGATCGCTGTTGGAGCCGGGACGCAGGTGTGTTTTGGCATCATCTGGGAAGTGGTATTGGGCGGGGGGGGGTGTAATCATGTAAACGCACGGGTATTCGTTAGACCATAGACCATTTGTGTAACCGCATGCCATACATTGACCTTGTATCCCTAAGGTGAGGGGTTGGTCAGGCGAGCCCGGAGCCGAAGATGAAGTCTCGCTAGGTAGATTTAGGGTAGCTACCATGCGTTTGCTTTGCGACCAGTTGGAATACTGTCACTTCGCCGTGGACCGCCAACGACGTCGAACCTACGAGCCTGCACACCAAGCCAACAGCCGTTCTTCACACGTGGAACCCCGTAACAGAGTTTATTGTAGTTGAGTCTGCTAAATTATTTATTCAGCGTTGTCGGTGCGGTCGGGATGGCAACAGTGTAGCCTTATTTTTGTTTCTTCTTCTCTTTCTGCGTTCGTTACCTTGTTGGTTGTCACAGGTGGCCATGGAGGCGGCCGACATGGTCCTGGTTCGCTCGGACGTGTGCGACGTGGTGTCAGCACTGCACCTTGGCCGGAAGGTGTGTGGTGTGTGGCCGCTGCTGTCGTGACTAGTGACTGTGGGTACTGGTAACTCTGGTAACTCTGGTGACCGCACTCATAAGGCCGCCGCCGCAGCAGCAGCAGCACGAGGTCATTGGTCTTTTCTCCGCGGGTCGGGAAGCAACTGCTACTCACCATGTCTCATGTTCATCCTTTGACTGCGGAGACTGGGTGATTGAGTGAGTTCCGATGATACCCACGTAATATCACAACCCAGTGGTAGCTTGCATGTACCTCTCAAGAATGAACCCTAATACACAACCACTGACTCTCGTTGCCCGATCCCCGCACAAAATTGGGCAGGTATTCGGCCGCATCCGGCTGAACTTCGTGTTTGCCATGCTCTACAACCTGTGCGGGGTGCCGATTGCTGCGGGAGTGTTGTACCCCTTCTTGCACATCAGGCTTCCCCCGGCCCTCGCCGGCCTGTCCATGGCGCTGTCGTCGATATCGGTGGTGCTGTCCTCGCTGGCCTTACGGTTCTACAAGAAGCCGGAGGTATGCCTGGTCTGTCTGCAACATCGACGAGGTGTTGTTGCTGCTGTTGCTGTTGCTGTTGCTGTTTGTTTGCTGGGTGTGTTTTGGTAGCGTCTGCGGGCTGGAATGCACTCCACTGACCACACGCGGAGTGATACCACCATCATCCAGCCATCCTATGCCCTGGTATTAATAAATGGTCCTGGTATTCACTCCGAGGACAACGGTGCGCTGGGAGTGACCGTCAACAGCTAGCCGTCCTACTCCCTGTTCAGAATTAAAAAACGTTCCTGTTATTCACTCCGATGACGACGACACGCTGTGAACGAAACCGCCAACAGCCAGACATCCCTGCTCATTGCCCATCTCAGATCGACGACGAGGGAAGGCTTTGGCAGCGCAGCGCCGCGGCGACCGGCCTCGAGGTCGTCTCCGGTTGCTTCGGCGGCGTCCGGCACTTGGCTCGAGGTCGGCGTTCCTTTGCCGGTGGTCGGGGATTACGGTTTCATGCCGTTCGCGACGAAGTGGACTACGATGACGACGATGTCGAGATGCAGCCGCGTGGTGGTGGGGGAAGCGGCAATATCAGCACCGCGAGCAGCGGCAGCAGCAACGGCGTTGTTGGTGGGCGCAGCAGGTATGTATGGGCAGTACAGTAGTCTGGGGACCCCCGCTAGATTCAGAAAATGAGGCGTGTTGGATATGCCATCCGTGTCACGGGATTTGAACCGGCCTTGGCAGCATTGACCTTCCCCGCTAGGTGTTGTGTTTGTGGTAAACTTGGATATGCCATCCGTGCTACCTCCCCCGAGTGTACGTGTGTGTGGATTGCGTGCATGCCACATGTTTGCTCCATGTTGACCGTGCTTCGTTGCGATGGCCGGCTGACGTACGAAATGGCGCCGAGCGGCATCGGCGATACGGCAGGTTCGGTTGCGGGATGCAGCAACAGGAACAGCAGCATCAGTGGCAACACTGGCTGACCCGCAGCTCTCTCGAATCAAGGAGAACGGGATTATTGCGCAAGGTTCAATCGACCAGGCGTCCTGTTTCTTTGCGCGATGCCCTTGCTTTTTCTGGCCCCCCACTTTTTGACGTATCCCACCCTGCCTTTTTGTTTTGCTTGTCTACCCGTCATCAACAGCCATGGTTAGCATGGGTTAGGGGTGGGGATTTCCTGAGAATTTTAGATTTTTTTGCGGTAGAATTTCGACCGTACATTGTACAGCACCGTGGACGTAGTTCACTTGCCCGTTCGTTGTAGACCGTGTTGCATCTTGAGAACGGGCCTTCGATGACTTCATAAACAACAAACAAACAAACACACGTCTTTTCCTCTTCTTTTCCCGGCCGCCGTTGCTCTTCGCGAAATGGTTGTTTTATTCGCCTTGCAGGTGGTCGGTGCTGTCTGCTATCAAGAAGGGCTCCGCGATCGATTCTGCACCTGTGTTCGCCACCCGGGGAGCGGGTAGAAGGTCGTCAGCGTCATCAGCAGCGGCGGGACCCTACGCGCTTGTGCGATCTCACAGCAGAGACGGGAGCGTGACGTCGACAAGCAGCGTTTCGGGTCTTATGGACCGGGGGGAAGTGAACGGAGGTGTAGAAATGATGGGGTTCGTGTGAAAGGACGGTACATACTGCTGTCGTCCTGATGAGCGTGTTGCACGGCAACTTGTCGACCAGCAGACGAGGATTTCGTCGGTCTTGGGGGAGACGTTTTGTCCTGTGCTTGTGCTTGTGCTTGTGCAGGGTTCTTGTGAAGACGGGTCTGCTGTGCCTCTATGGTCTGATGAGCGTGTTGTTTCGTGGCACCCACTCGGCTAGCAGATGAGAGTAAGTGGGTCTTGAGCGGAACTTTGTGCGAACCGTATGTGTGTGTGTGCCGTGTCGCCTTGCTTTGTTTGCGCGTTCTGCGGGCACTCCAGATACGCTACCCTACCGTCTGGCGTGTCGGACGGCTCTTTGCGACTTGTGCGTTTTGTGTGATACGTTGTTTGTTGTTTGTTTCAGCACCGTACACGTTGGTTGACCGTATGGCGATTATATCCTGAGTGTGTCTGCTTTGAACGATTGCGATTTTTAGCGGAGCCCCCCTCCCCCTCGCAAGCCTAGAACGGTCTACATGTGTGTTCGTGTCTGTGCGCGTGCGTAATTTTTCGATCGCCATCGACCGCGCTTTCAATTTATTGTTTTGCACGAATGAGGTAACGGGTTCAGGTTCAGTGGGGACAACAAAACGAAAAAGCTTTTTTAGGGGGGGGGGGGGAGCGGAGGGGTACTGCTTCGTAGCCTGCCCTTCTCTCGAACAGACTATCTTTTACCAAGCTTTCAAGCCCAAACGGGGTCCGCTGTTTGCTCCTATCAAGAGAGATGCCAAAGGCCAATTTCAGCGCCTGCGCAGTTCGTGACGCCTCCAAAATGTGCGGGCTCTAGTTATATTCGGGGCGTCGAGAAGGTAGAGAACAGAGTTTTTTTTAGCTTTGTCGATATGTACCAACGTTTGGAACGAAATAAATTATTGTGGTGTTGTTGGCGGGTACGGGTTTGGGATAGGCGTAAGGAAGAACTTGTTTTTCGTTCATTGTGTCTAGTTCACTTGCTACCCAGGAAGCGCTTGAGAATCTCCTATTACCCTGGAGTGTACTCGTGGGTTTCATCAGCAGGTTAGGTTGCCCGGTTTCGATGATTTAGAAGTTGTGTTATTGGCTCCCGCGTTCTCATGTCCAGATGCTTAGTGGAGTTGTTGTGATAACGAAAGAAGGGTGGTGGTTAACGTCTTCAACTCGGAAAGTGAACTCCACCCGCTTTTTCTTTGTCAGGGCAATCAAGGTTTCACTTGCTTCTGGGCTGGGTGGTGGGGAGCTGGACTAGAGGCGACGAGGCGGGGGGGTTGTGGGCAGAAGAGGGATTTGATTAGTTAGAGCGCTTGAGTATCGCTGCCCATACCAGTTGGTCTCTGCATCTTTTTGTGGCCAACTGTTTGATTGGTTGATTTGAGGGGGCGGGGGGATAATGCCCCATGTACGTATGGTGGTCGTACACAGCGCGGTTCTTGGTGCTTTTCTCAGTCTTCCGGTTCACAGCCGGACGTTGTACTCATGTGGCGCGCTTCCTCTTGCGTTCTCACATGGACAAGCCTTCTTGTTGGTTGCGCCTAGAGCGATATTATTGCCAATCAGCCATCACCATGCATATTTTTCGCGAGTTTTTCCTGGGCATCCGATCAACGCATATATATGCCATTGCCACCCATTATTCATGGTCCACGTTACGCGACGTATGCTTGACTGTCATTTCTGTTAGAGTAGCCACTTGTATTTCTACATCACAGGAGTTCGTTTCACTTGTTGCGGGATGTATCGTCGACGACATTTCAATGTCCTTGATGACCGCCATTGAAGCACCAACAGTGCGTGCGGCAGCAGGGACAGGGATGGGAAACCTTGGCGAAGCGGAGAAACGATTTCTTTTTCATTTTTATTGTTCTTTTCCCCTATTGAATGAATGTTGTGAGACCGCCCAACCCTTTCTGACAAAAAGAGTGGACGTGAAGAAATTACTCCAAGTTGATTCCGCCCTGCTGGCCTTGCTTGATTCAAATCGAGGGTTCGCGAAAACAGTGGTGGCATATTCGACCGCGATCTTTCGAAAATTCCCCTCTCTTGACGTGGAATTGACGGCGGTTTCTACACCGTAATTCAAAAAAAGCAGTAATTCTGAAGCTGAAAGCTATCTCTCCGACCTAAATTCATTTTTGTCACGGTTCCGATTCCCCCACCGTGTCTCAAAAGCCGATCTCGACCTATGGCGCACGGCTCGCGGTATCTTGCGCCAGAAGTGTGCGACGATGCGCCCTGTTTCGGTCCTCTTGACTGGTTCGCCTTCTTCGAGTCTTGATCGCTCTTTTGGCTTCTCGAACAACAATGTCGTCCAAAATCAATCTCAAAGTCCGCTTGGCAGCAACCAAAGGCAAACTTTTCATTTCAGGTGGTGGCTTAGTAAATGAAAGTGCATGTGGGACGAGTGAATTTCCAACACGAACATTGTGCCAACACCCACGCGTAGTACAACGAAAGCGCATACGGTGAGTCGACGAGCAGGCAAGTTGCATGTTGCGCCAGAACTGTGCGACCGTGCGCACTGTTTTCATCGTCTTGACCGGTTCGCCTTCTATCTTCCTGTCTTGATCGCTCGTTTTGGCTTCTCGAACAATGTCGGGAAATATCGAAGTATCGAATCTTAGGGTCGGCGTGGCACCAACCCACGGCATCGTGTTCATTTCAGAGGTGGTTTAGTAGTGAAAATGTGTGAAGGCCGAGTGGGTATATTTTGACTGAGCAGCGAACGGGACGACTGTTGACGTTGTGGTGGTCACAACAAACAACGAACGTTCACCGTGAGTTTCTCTTCGACAGATTAATAGAGGAGTTCGCGGTAGATCATCAACGGGTTTGTTTAACGTGTTGTACAGTGTACAACGTATCAATACATATTTATTTTCGGTTGTTTCCCGGGCAGGTCTTGTTTCATTTTTTGTTTCCATCCCCCGTCGGGTCGTGATCTGTCAACGCAGTAAACTCAGCCAGCAGCCAATTTATCTCTACAACACGAATCGCGTTGATCTATCACAACCTTTTGTAGCAGACTAAACAAGATCGGAGCGAGCGATAAAAACACTCTCATACAGAGGCACGCAACCCAAGAGGTTTCTTCGTGCGCGGCTAACACTTTCGGGCAAAGCGCCTTCTTCAAACCAAGCAGAATCAATCGTTCTTGCACAGATAGCGCCAACACCACACTCACGCTGGAACCCTGTTTGCGTGTTTGCCTTTTCCTCGTACAGCGTTCCCGGTCTCTGTCCAGTGACTTCTAATGGCCGTACCGGTACAACTGATGGGGAAGCCTTCCGCTGTCCCAGGCCAACTGCCCACAAAAGGAACACATTTAGTCTGACCCTTGGAGACGGAGAAAAAATGAAAGAACGGAGGCACAAACATAATTCTGTCATCGAAACCTAGGGCCTCCCTCCCCCCCCATCGCCAAAAACACCGATTTCAGCAAAAAACACGCTGAAAAAATAGGAAACACGCTGTTTCATAGTTGAGGTCGCCTTTCGTCGCCGATTATCTTCATGGTCCCTCCTGCGGGGAGACTGCATGACTACAGACCTTATCGAGACCATATGGAATCGCCGAAAAAGTTTTTTTGCACCAACAACATTCATTCGCCGCATATATATATCGTCTCCTATAATCGTCTCCTAAAAACCGAAAATTGCTTAATTACTTGAGGTTGTAGACTTGGATTATTAATTAAATTTTCCAGAGCAGTGGCAAGTGTGAGAGGATTCGTAGAAGAGCTGTTGTTCCTCCGTACACGATTTCGCTCATGCAGAAGCCGGGCTGCACTGACTGGCACCTGGCACCAAGGCTATTCGTTGTTTTTTTGCTGTTGAGAAAGGAGTTTTTCACCATGAGTTGTATCGTTCGCGTAGCGCCTAATATTATTGCTGGACGGCTAGATAGACTAAATCTATCTACTGATGATGAAGGAGGACGAGACCTGAGAGCCACCACCATTTGTTTGTCGTGTCATATGTTGTGCGCAGACAAGTTATGTTCACTTTCTAAAAAATACATGTATTATTGTGATATGGGCGTGTATATTTTTGTTGATTATTTTTCAGGTTTGGGGAGTGCATAATGTAAAGATATATTGTGATGATATGGATGTGTTTATTTTATTAATTATTCTTCAGGTTTGGGGAGTAAACAATAATAGCAAGATATATTGTGATATGGGTGTTTTTATTTTTATTTATTATTGATTATTTTTCAGGTTTGGGGAGTACATAAAAATATATGGGGGTGTTTGATTTAATTTAATTAATTAATTGTTTTTGGGTTTGGGGAGTACATATATATATATGGGGGTGTTTGATTTAATTAATTGTTTTTGGGTTTGGGGAGTACACATATATATGGAGGCAGGATCAATTATTTCGGACGCAAGCGCCTTGCGGTCGTCGCTCTTTGGCAGAGCACCCATAAATAGGGCAATTTTTTTGTAAGACACGGAAGAACTTCCAACAAATATCTATGTTTTAGAGGCGTAGAGCCGGGTAGATGCCTGACTCCCACCAATCACCCGTCGAGTTTCTAAGACATTTTGTAAGACAGAGACAGATGATTGGGCGATGGGCACGACGCTCTCGGCAGAATCACTGAAATCCTCTCGCACAGCAGCACCATACACATCACGTAGACAACATACGATACAACCAGCACAGCAGTATACGGACTGCTGTAGGCCAAGGGCAGCCAAAGGCATAGATCATGGGAGGCGTTGGGTGGGACTCTTGCGGCCCGTTGCCTGCTGTCGGCAGCACAAGCGAGTGACGACGCAAGTCAACCCGCGGTCCGTCTGCATCACCCTCACCCTACCGATCTTTGGAGCTTCCCGCACAGACGTATCCCCACAACAGAGAAAACGAGGCCTAGACACTGCTGTAGGCCAAGGCCGGCCAAAGGCACACATCATGGCTGGCGTCGGAAGCTATTTTTAGACCCCGAGGCCTACTGCTAGCAGCGTAAGCGAGGGAACATGCGAGTGCACACAAGTGAGATCTTTGTCTGCTGTCTCTCGTCTGCCGGCCGATCTTTGCTTCCACAACAGATGCACCCCAGAATCAGAAACAAGTGAGACGTACACAGCGCTGTAAGCCATGGGCGGCCAAATACGCACGTCGTGGGAGGGGTCGGGCCCAATTTTTCGAGCCTGTTGCCCTCTGCTAGTAGCGAAAGCGAAGAAAGCAAGTGCGCACCCATCGCACCCATGCACAGCAACAGCAGCAGCGCCGCAGCAACAGCAAGCAGCAGCAGCAGCAGCAGCAGCACTGCTGCCGCTGAGCTGATGATGATGAGAGCTAAACAGCTCTCCCGTTCATCCCCTGGCTGACTGGTGGTATCGGGTGAGGTGTGAGCGTGCGCACTGGTGACCTACGTGGTGGCGTAGGCTCCATCCATATCTATCTACGCTTGCTGTGATGTCTCTCTCCGACCCTTCTTTTCGCGCTTCGCGCGAAATATTTTAATTTTTTTTGTTGGACCCTTATGTATGGGAGGTGAGCCTTTTTCTTTGGTCATGTGCAAAAATCGCGAAAGTCGGGGGAATCGAACTCAAGGCGGGTAAGCTCACGGACAGAAGTCTGTCCCCTAGCACACACGCGCCTCACACTCCGATGCAACTTACGGTGAAAAACTCCTTTCTCAACAGCAAAAAAACAACGAATAGCCTTGTTACAAGGTGTCAGTCAGTGCAGCCCGGCTTCTGTATGAGCGAAATCGTGTACGGAGGAGGAACAGTTCTTCTACGAATCCTCTCACACTTGCCACTGCTCTGGCATTTTAATTAATCCATACAATCTCAAGTAATTAAGCAATTTTCGGTTTTTAGGAGACGATAACGATATGTGGGCCACGTGTGTGCCAGGGAACAGACTTCTGCCCGTGAGCTTACCCGCCTTGACTTCGATTCCCCCAACTTTGGCGATTTTTGCACAGGGCCAAAGAGCGTCGACCGCAAGTTGCTCGCGTCCGATATAATTGATCCTGCCTCCATATATATGTGTACTCCCCAAACCCAAAAACAATTAATTAAATCAAACACCCCCATATAGATTATTATTGTAACCCAGCACACAATTAATTTTTCTTTCTTATGTACTCCCCATATATTGTCTGCACTTTCCCGGAAATCATAATTATTATCTTGCCGTTTGTGTAGCCGAATTAAATTTGGCTCTGGTTTTCTGATACGATGGTTGGGAATGCATAGCACACCCGCACACCCATCCAATTTGCCTGAAGTTTCCCTGCGTGCAGGCAAGAAGACCTGAAGAACAAGCGAAAAGGCCCATCAGCCCCACCCACCACACACAAAGGGCTGATGCACAGCCTCTCCGAACGGTCTGGTTTTGCACCCTGCTTCTTGTACTCCCGGTC